ACCAAGCCCTGCTTTCAAGCCAGCTCTGAGACTGAGTTCATCTCTAGAATCCAGCTGAGCCCTGACATCAAGCCAAGTTCTGGAACCCAGACAAGTTTTAAGACCCAGGCCAGCTCGGAGACCAAGCCCTGCTACAAAACTCGACCTGACTCTAGAACTCCAGATCGCTCCGTGGAACAGCCGTACCTGGAGACTCGGTCCCGCTCCGGAACACCTGTTAGTTTTGAGACTCAGGTGAGATTCAAGCAGCAACCCAGCCGTAGAACCCAAGGCAGCTCAGGACTGAAAGAGAGCACCCAAACCCAGCCCTATTCGAGATCTCAGACCAGCTCAGTGACCCAGAGCCATGCAGCTGCCCAGTCCAGATTCAAACCTCAGCCCTGCTCTAAAACCCACTTGCACCCAAGTACCTACGCACATGCTGTGGCCCAGTCCAGCTCTGGCGATGAGTCCAGCTCTGAGAGTGGGCCCAGCTCTAGAACCCGGCCTAGTGCTACAATCAGGCCCGACTCCAGAACTCAGAGCAGCTCTGGATCCCCACCCGGCTCTGAAGCAAGGCCCAGCTCCAGAACACTGCTTGGAATGGAGTCCCACTCTCCCTGCAAGATGCAGACCAGCTCTAGAACACGGTCTAGCTCTGGGACCCAGACTCACTTTAAAGCCTGGCCAAGCTTCAGAACTCAGTCCAGCTTAGGCACCCCACCCAGCTCCAGAACTCAGCTCAGTTCTGGAGCACAGACTGGTTCTGAAATCCCAGGCAGTTCCAAAACACAGTCAATTGCTGAGACCCAGCCAAGTTCCAGAATCCAGCTAAGCTCTGGAATCCAGACTAGCCCTGGGTCCCAGAACAGTGCAGCAACTGAGTTAAGCTCCATGACCCCATCTGGTTCCAGCGGCCGGCCTGGCTCCAGCACCCAGCACAGCCTAGGAGTCCAACCAGCCTCTGGTTCTCAGCTCCTCTCTGAAACCCTGCCGAGTTCTAGATCCCAGCTCCAGCCCACAATCCCAGCCAGCTCTGGTACTCAGCTGGACTCCAGGAAGCAGAGCAGCTCTGGAATTCAGCCCAGCTCCAGAACCCAGCCCAACTCTGGGACCCAGACGAGTTCAAGAATTCAGCCCAGCTCTGGGGCCCACCTGAGTTCTGAAAGCCAGCCTGTTTCTGGAACCCAACCCAGCTCCAAAACCCGGACCAGTTCTGGCACCCAGCTCAGCTTGGAGACCCAGCTCAGCTCAGAGACCCAGGCCAGCGCAAGAATTCAGCCTAGCTCTGGAGCCCACCTTGGTTCTGTCACCCAGCCTATTTCCGGAAGCCATTCTAGTTCCAGAGCCCAGACCAGTTCAAAAATCTGGCTCAGCTCTAGAAATGGGCTCTGCCCACAGACCCCTGGTCTGGACCCTAGAACCCAGCCTGATACCCCTGCCCCAGCCCGACCTCAGCCCCCAGCCACCCCACCTGGAGTCCCAACTCCAGCCCCTGGCAAAGTCCTCTGGCCACCACCCCAGCCCCATGACCTGATACGTGGCACCCAGGCGGGCCCTGGCCCCGGCCATGGCCCAGCAGCCTCCCACCTGGCCCTGCAGCCACAGGCCTCCTCGGCACCCCTGAAGCCACCCCTGTCCCCCAAGCCGCAGCTGGGACTGCAGAAGTCCACGCCACCCAGCACACCTGTCACTCCTGGTGCTGCCCCAAGGGCGGCTCCCCTGAGCTCCCAGCCCCTCGACCCCCCAGCTCAGGGGTCCGCCCCCTCCCCCATGCCCAGGGAGCCAGGGCCACTCCTGTGTGGCAGCGGGGGACTGTAGCTTGCGGGCAGGGGCACAGCTGAGGCTCCTGTGGTCCCCTATCCTGGCCCTCCCAGCCAGGGTCCCCAAGAAGGGGCAGGTGACCTCATTCACCCAGCTGGCGGAGGTGAGGAGGCGCGGTGGAAACGGGCTTCGGTTTCACGGGGCCTGGCTGTGCGCCGCCGTGTAAGCGGATCCGGGCCCTGGCGGGAGAAGGGGACAGGGGCCGGTCGTCCCCATGTATCTCGAGGGCACCAGGTGAATAAAGGCACCGTCCCGCCCGCAGCCCGGTGTGTCCTTTTGGGGAGCAGTTTCAGGGAAAGCGGAGGACAGGGCTGGGCTGGGGGGCTGGGGGACCTGGGGGGCTGGGGGAGCAGATGGCAACGCTGAGTGCCTCTTGAGCGCTTACTGTATGCGGAGCACTTTATCAAGCACCATGTGTGCATAAGCGTAGGTGCCAGCACCTGCACGGCGCTCCATGCAAACTGGGTCATTGGTCCATTCGACAGCATTTATTGAGCACCAACTGTGGGTGTGGGGCTGTCCTGGCCCTGGGGAGTTTGAAACACTGCTGCGTGAATGAATGGACGCAGGCACGGAGTGGGGAGTGGAGGAAGCGGGGACTTCACTCCACGGTCTTGTGTGTGTCTGTCTCCCTCTCTCTCCCCCAGCTGCGAATGGGTCTAATCCCGGAGCCTCCCCTAACAGTTGTTGAGAGATTCAAGGAGACACCACTTTCCTTAAGTGCTTAGGAAACAGCCGGGTGCAGTGGCTCACACCTGTGATCCCAGCACTTTGGGAGGCTGAGGCGGGAAGATCAAGCCAAGTGTTCAAGCCGGGAGGCTGAGGCCAGGAGTTCGAGACCAGCCTGGGCAACATAGCGAGACCCTGTCTCTACAAAAAAAATAAAAAATTAACCGGGAGTGGTGGTGGTGCCTGTCGTCCCAGCTACTTGGGAGGCTGAGGCAGGAGGATCGCTTGGGCCCAGGAATTGGAGGCTGCAGTGAGCTGTGATGATGCCACTGTACTCCAGCCTGGGCGACAGAGCGAGACCCTGCCTCAAAAAAAAAAAAATTAAAAGAAAAGAAACTTCTTGAGAAATGAGATGGGAGAGGCACTAGACCCCAGCCCCATCCCTGAGGTCGGGCAACCTCGTGCCCAGACCCCCAGAGGCTGCCAGCTTCTGGAGCCAAAGGTGGGAGCATTTTGGCCACAGAGGGGTGTCCCTTCCTGTCCACATTCCATCTTTCCTAGACGGAATCTTTCCAGGCTGGGGTCTCAAAGGGAGGCAACTGTGCCCAGCAGGCAGGTCGTATTCAGGGGTCAAAGAATCCCCCATGACAGGGGCTTTACTGGAAGGGGGGGCCTTGGCCACTCCGAGCCTTACAACACGCTCTTCTGACACCCCCATCACGCCCCTTCCTGGGGTTGGGAGGGGCTTGGGGAAGGGGAGGGTGGGGAAGAGGTCTGAGTGGGGGAGGGGGCTGAGGCCTTGGACAGGGGTCAGGGAGGAGCTGGGGGGTCCCCAGGTTGGATGGAAGGTGCCCGTGATCCCGCAGCCGAAACCCTCTGTCCGTCCAGCACGCGCTCAGGGAGCATCGGGACAGGCTGATGCGACCGTCAGAGGGGACCGAGGGTTTTGCGGGGGGACGCGCAGGCAGGGGTAATGTCCGGCCTGGGGCCCGGCCCTACTGCAGCACGGAGCCCCGCGGGAGCTGGGGCCGCAGGGAGAGCGACCTGGGCCGCACGCTGAGGCGGGGCTGCAGGCGCCGGAGCACGGCGCGGCGGAACAGGATGTACACCCAGGGGTCCAGGATCTGGTTCCAGGTGGCCACGCGCAGGTAGATCAGCAGCTGCTTCTCGGTGGCACGTGACAGCTGCCCGGTGGGGCTCATGGCGGGCGGGTTCCTCAGCACTGTCTGGGCGATGAAGACCTGTGAGGGCCACAGTGTCAGCCGGGGCCCGCCGGCCTCGAACCTGCCCCCAGCAGCCCCCGCCCAGGGCTCTGCGACTGCCTCACTGTGTGATCTCAGGAGAGTTGCCTAACTTCTCTGAGCTACTGTGGACATGTCCATAAAGCAGCACACTCTTCCTGCTCCTCTCCTGGGCACGATTAAATGTGGCGAAAAAGGACTTGTTTTTTTTATCGCCGCCGGCACTGTTATTCTGTTAAAATTTTTATATCATAGGCTGGGCACAGTGGCCTGCACCTGTAATCCCAGTGCTGTGGCATCTCCTGGCCAGAAGGTGACATTTGAGCAAAGGCCTGGAGAGGCAAAGGTGTGACCATGTGGAAATCTGGGGGTGGGGGTGGGGGAAGCGTTCCAGGCAGAGGCACAGCTTGTGCAAAGGCCCTGGGGCAGGACTGCACCTGGCATGTTGGAGGCACAGCGAGGAGGCCTGTGTGGCCATAGCAGAGTGAGGTGGGGAGAGAGGGAGGACGGGAGGGAGGGGAGGGGAGGGGATGGGGCAGGTCGTGCAGGGCCTGGTAGGCTACAGGGAGGACTTGGGCTTTTCCTCCCTGAAGGAGGTGGGAGCCATGGAGGGCTGTGGGCAGAGGAGGGTTGGGCCCTGACTCAGGTTCTCACGGGCACCCTCTGGTGGCTACTTTGGGGACAGACTGTGGGAGTGAGGGCAGAAGGGTCAGCACTGGTGACCCTCACTGCAGCCTCCAACTCTTGGGCTCAAGTGATCCTCCAGCCTCAGCCTCCCAAGTAGCTGGGACTACAGATGTGCAACACCATGCCTGGCTAATTTTATTTTTAAATTTTTTGTAAAAACAGCGTCTGGCTATGCTGCCCAGGCTGGTCTCAAACTTCTGGCCTCAAGTGATCCTCCCGCCTCAACCTCCCACAGTACTGGGATCACAGGCGTGAGCCACCATGCCCAGCCTCATTTACTTATTTTTATTTATTTATTTATTTATTTTTGAGACAGAATCTCACTCTGTTGCCCGGGCTAGAGTGCCATGGCATCATCCTAGCTCACAGCAACCTCAAACTCCTGGGCTCAAGCGATCCTCCTGCCTCAGCCTCCC